CACCATGCTCTCACCTTTTACCTTGTCTATCTCTGATTCCTTCCTTCCCTTCTTTGAGACTGTTTCCATTTCTGAGGATAGGCTGGCCACCAATATCCACTACAAACCAGCCAACTCCCATGTTTACCTTTGACTATACATCCTCACACTCTGCTTTCTCCTAAAGATTCTATTCCATTCTCCCAGTTCCTCCGTCTCCATCGCATCTGTTCTGATGATGCCAACTTTGAAAAGGGGCCTCAAATGTCCACCTTTTTCCTCAGCTGAGGATTCTGCAGCACCGTAATTGTCAAGGCCCTCAGCTGAGTCCGACCAACCTCCTGCACTACAGCTTTTGCCCCCCTCTTACCTCCCACAACTGTGATAGTGTTCCCCTTGTCCTCACTTACCATTCGACCAGCATCCACATCCAGAGGATCATTTAGCTGCCATTCCACCACCTCCAGTGGAATGCCATCACCAGATACACGTACCCTTCCCCTCCATTGTCAGCCTTTCGCAAAGACTGTTCCCTCTGGGCCACTCTGGTCCATTCCTCCTTCACTCCCAACACCACACACACGTAGCATTAGGAAGGGGCGGTCGAGCCCCTCTGAGAATTAAAATCGAAACACAAGCCCTCAATTTGTTACGGTGGGAGTAGAGGTCCCCTTTTAATAATTAAATCCAAAACTCCCAGAGAAGCTTGCCTCGTCTCGCCTAACCTGACAACCTGTTTTGGAGAAGGGGAGATTAAATGAAAGAAAATCCCTGATATTCACTTTATAAGTAACAAGTAACGATTTATTTATTTAACCCTAATAGTGAACAAATTAACAGAAATACTAACAAACCTAACAATTCCTCCTTGACTACTAACTATTCCCTAACTGAACTAAATTCTACTGGTATGCTGTTCCAATAAACACAAGTCTCACTTGTATAAACCCAAGTAATAAGAAAATAAGTTAAAACTTAGTTGCTCAAAGTCTGCACACCCTTCTGCTGTTCTCAAGTCATAAATGTCTTTCTTCCGCTGATCCAGCTGTCAAGAATGTTTTTTCTGAAGTCTCCAATGAAGACTCTTAGTTAGAAGTGCCGTGGTATCTTTTATGGATAGATGGTGATTTCTTGAGAGCTAAATGCTTGCTTCTCAGATGGCGGTTCACTCTCACACTGATTTTCAAAAACACTGTCCTTGTATACCTTGGATGACGTATCAATTTTCTTACAATAGCATTGGTTCGAGGTTGTCCTCGAAATTCAGTTGGCTTTCAGTCGCTAAGTCCTTGGTTTAAATTAATTGGCAGGTTGCAGCTAGTTGCCAGAACAGCAGAACAAGCCTAAGGTTTCCAATCACACAGTCAATTGATACATGTTTCAGTTTCAGAACCGTCTGTTCCCTTTCAGCTGCTTAGACACATTTTCTGTCTAAATTTCTAAGCTTAGAAAAGCACTCTACCTCTTTAAAGGAGTCGCAAACTCATGTCCCTTATCATTTTTTTTTTTACAAATTCTAGCTTCCTGCCTTCCGATTCATGATCACTCAATACACTTTTAAAACAATTTGATGCATGTAAACACACCACTTTCCCGTTTACCTACTCCCAACTGAGTATTCGAGTGCCTGAACGTTCTCCAGGTGAAACAGTGCTTTATCTGCATTTCACTTAGTCTACTGCAATGCAGCCTCCTCTAATATTGTAGAAATTAAGTGTAGGCTGGGTGACTACTTTGCAGAACACTTCTGTTCTGTCTGGCTGCAAAAAAAATGCCCTGATCATCCATTTGCTTTCAACACATTACCTTGTTCCCTGGCTAATATCTCTTTCTCAGGCTTGTTGGGTTAAGCTCAGTGCAAGCTGGAAGAACAGCACCACATTTCCCACTTGGGAACTGTACAGCCTTTTGGACTCAATATTGAGTTCAGCAATTTAGGTTTTGAGCACCTTCTCCATGTCCTCACCCTAACCCCCACACCCCAGGCCTTGTAATCACATGGTCTGCTATTACCCACAACCCATTGTTAACCATTCATACTCCTAGGCTGACTGTTATCCACTCCTTTGTCTATCCAGCTGTTCTTCTCCTTCTTTGGGCTCTATCTCCAGCTATTGTGTACTCTTTATCCCTCTTCTTCTCCACCTCTCCCGCCCCCAGCCTATCTTCTGCATAAACATTAACTTTTTCCCAGCTGCCATCAGTTTTGAAGAAGGGTTACTCTAAGCATTAACTCTGATTTCTCTCCACAGATGCTGCCAGACCTACTGACCTACCCTTGGCTTGATAATGGTGGAGTAGGGAATATGCCAGGCCATGAGGTTACAGATTGTAGTTGAATACAGTTTTGCTTGTTCATGCTGCCCTGTAGATGCCCAGTTTGATATCTGTTTGAAATCAATCTCGTGGGTCATATACTTTAAGTTTACAAACATAGATTAATTTAGCAATTTTAGGAGGGTCAATGCCTTGTAATAAAATAAGGATATTTGTAGAAGATATTGTAACACTGAAATGCCACTTCAAGGTAACAAAGAAATGTTGATTTTTCCTCATCAATGTTATGACTTCATGGCCTATTTTAATTGGTTAGTTTAGGCTTCCTTTTTGTTAATTGCAGTGTAGTTGCTAGGGAACTTTTTTGTTCAGTGTACGATATTCTGTAGCTTTGAGATGAAAGGGAAACCACTGTTGGGAATTTGTAATGACTATACAATAGAAGTGAGTCATAATGGAATCATCCTCCAAGGATTACACTTCAGCTTGCAAGAATTTCCTTTAAAGAAAAAGCCTTTTAGGCCGACAGTAACAGTTAAAGCATTAATGGTTGAAAACATACATTATTCATACATTTTAGTATTAATAATTTAATGATCAGAAAAACAGCACTTCAGAAATTTAGACTCACCAATGTAAATTCAAAAGGTGATGTCACATGTGTTATAGTGAGTTATACTATCTCAACTATTGTACTAAACTTTAAGTTTTATGGTATTGGATGATATTGACATATGCTGCAGACATTTTACAACTGAAACAAACAAATGCTGGGAGTTCTCAGCAAGTCTGTGTCTGTGGAACAAAACAAACTTTTTTTCAGGTTAATGGTCTTTCATCAGACTTGTAAATGGAATGAGTTCTGTAGTGAATGAGGGGGAAAGAGTTTTTTTTAAAACCTGAATTAGAAGATGGGAGATTTGCCTTTCCACATATCCGTCATCTGCACTTGCTTCTTCCAAAGTCGTGTATATGTTGTAAACAGTTATGGTCCCAGCACTGATTCCTCTTGAACCCTACTGGTTACGTACAGATCGTTGACTTGAAAAAGAACCACTTCATCCCCACTCTGTTTCCTACCCATTAGCAAATTCTCTATCCATGCCAATATACTACCTCCGGTATGATGGACTCCAGTTTATGACTTAACCTTTTGAGGTACCTTGTCGAATACCATCTGGAAGTCCAAAAGCAACACCTCTATTAGTTCACCGCTATCCAAGCAGGTTGAGACTTCAAACGCTATTCCCCTTTCATGAAGCGATGCTGCCTCTGCTTGATTAGATTTTGACTTTACAAATGTGATGTTATTAATTTCTTAATTGGTTCCAACATTTTAGCAATTTTGTGTTGGCAATCTTCTAGGTTTTTTATTCATATACTTTCTAGTGCAGTTCTAATTTGCTGCTGTTTTAAAATCTATCTAGGAAGAATAGTGATTGGCCATATTTAGTGTTTTCTGTCCAAGCAGAATGTTTAGCCTTAATTTTCCTATTATTTTTGTCTTTCAGTAATCCTAAATCAGAAAATCAAAGACTGAACAAGAAAATAAACAGTGATTTGTCACTCCGAATTCAAAATTTATCCAGTTTGGTGCATCATATTAAATTGTATTATCAGGTACGTGGTAATTTAAGCAAGTCTTTTGCTTTCATTCAAAAGTATCTTATTTTTGGGACTCCTTGCATTGCTAGTGTTTTAGCCATTTCACCAGTAATGTGTATGCTTGGAACTATGCAAGCCATATTCAATTTTTAAAACCCATACAATACCTGAAATTGCCTCTGTATCTGTCTCTTCTGGGATAAAGCTAAGTATAAAACAACCTGATTTGCGCTTTTTTTTTTGTTTCATGCATTTCCAAGACCAACTTCACTGGTTAAATTGGTGTTGAAATGGTGGATTCTTCAAACTTTTCGTTTTTGTGGTGATTAAACTTGACTTTGTACCCTTTGTTACAGATACAACAACCAAAGATGCACACTTTTTTTCTAAACTTTTCATAATTTATATGATGTTTCCTCTTTTAACCTTCTATTCCAGTGATTAAAATAGCTTTCCCTCAAAGCTGCCCCAAGCTCAGTTAGGGAATATCTATGCTTTTTGTTGCAACAAAACTGTTGTGGTAGGATGCTAATTCTGCCGCCTCCTTTTATTTTTAAAGCTGCTTGCTTGAATTCAGTGATGCATGATCTTGACATTTTAACTTAGTTTGACAGCCCACAGTTGACCCATCACAGACCACTTCCTTTTTACTTTATTAATATTATACTTAGCATGTGTTTGTTGCTGGGATGGCAGCATTTGTTGCCAATACCTAATTGGAACTGCAAAGATGGTGGTTTTTTTTTTTGAAACCATATTCAATGATAACTCTGTGGTACAATCACAGACTAGCTTTTGAGATTCTAAATCTCTTAATTGAATTTAAATTTCACCAGCTGCCATGGTGTAATTTGAACCTGGGTCCCAAAATATTAATCTGGACCTCTGGATTACTAATCCAGTGATATTATCATTAGGCCACTGCTTGCTTCCAACGCTAGAGACACCTAAACCCTGTTGGACACTTTTTGTTTTCCAGTGAACAAGCTTCTCCGTTGACTCCTCTCGCTTTTGTCCAATCAAAGCTGTGGCTTTGGGTACCTGCATGGACCCCAGTTATGCCTGTCTCCTTGTTGGGTATGTGGAACACTTCTTGTTCCAGTCCTACTCTGCTCCTTCCCCACAAATCTGTCTTTGGTCCATCGAAGACATCGGTGCCTCTTACTTGGATTTGAAAAGATTTGTCGATTTCCAAACTGATCTCTTTCATCTGATCGTCCTGACTTCTCCCATATGACCTCTTGCAGTTTCTGGGGATAGGCTGACCACAGATATCCACTGTAAACCCACGAATTCCCATAGTTACCTCAGTTATGCATCTTCGTGTCTTGCTTCCTGTAAAGATTCATTCCATTCTCCCAGTTTCTCCATTGCGTCCGTTTGGGTGATGACACATTCTGCATCGGGTGGGGGAGAGGTCACAAATGTCTGCCCTTTTCCTCAACCCAGGATTGTCTGCAATGATGTTGATTGGCATTTAGCTGTGTTCTGACCATTTTGCCACCCTTTTGCCCATACACCTTTTTCTGCCACTTCATCATATTTGTCTCATGCCTGCAGCAGTGTTCTATCTAGGCTCCGTGCAAGCTGGAAGAACATCCTGTCATCTTCCACTTGGGACCCTGAGCCTTCAAGACTCTATACAGTTCAATGTTAGAGCCTAAATATCTCCATCCATGTCCTTTACCCAACTCCACACCCCAGAACCTGCCATGACATGGGCTGCTTTCAGACAGCTGCTCGATCTTACCCACTTATTGTTCCCATTACCAACTTTTTCTTCTTCCCTGGCTTACTATCAACAATACTTTTGTCTGCTTAACAGTGTTTCTGTCTCCATCTATCTGCTCACTTTGCATTCCCTCCCTCCCACCCACCCACCCCCACCCTGCTAGCTACTATCATTTCTGAGCGAGAGTCACTGGACTTGAAACATTGACTGTGTTTTCTTTCCACAGATGTTGCCAGTCCTGGGGTTCTCCAGCAATTTATTTCTGTTTCATAGCTTTTCCAGTACTGTTGAGCTCCAGAAGCTCCATCTGATCTCACATCCCTCTGTGTCCTTCATATCCCATGTTGTGTTCTGTTTGTGAATTGGTGATCTTGACTATGAATCCAAATGATTGGTAAATAAGGTCCATGATTTTCAAATCACTAGATTTGCTTCACCCTTGCTCTCCCACTTTTGAGCCCTGTATCCCACCTTCTGCTTTTCTTATCTGGTCTGTTTTGTTTCACTTCCACCTTACTGCAGTTACAATGGTATCGTGCTCCTGGTCTGTCAAATTATCTTGCTCGACCTGTTAGTCTTGATCATTATTTAATTTTGATGAGTCTTTTAAACCTACTTCTTGGACCACCAACTCTGCATTTCAACTGTGTCGGTATCTCTTCTTTGCACTCTGTGATGTTCAGATGCTCTTCGACTAGAAGTCATTTTGCCACTGAAATTGCAGTAGTTGAGCGAGAGAGGTCTGGCGTATGTTTCAAATACAGTAACTTCTGTGCTCAATGGTATTCAATTTGAATGATTATCTAGGAAGTGTGATGTTGGGATCTCATTAAATTGTTGATCTGTACATCCTGGCAAATTTTGGCAGTGATATGAGGGAAGCATTATTCTGTTCTTAAATAGCTTGGGCTCCACCTATGTATTTTCTAGAAAAGCATAGCATTTCAGATTGGTGGTAATCTTTTTCATGGGTAACTTTCACAAAATTTCAATTAGAGCCTCTTTAAAAGTATGATAGCATAGTATTAGGGTCATATAGAACAAGTTTGTTTGGTTTCCAGCCATGACGGACACTAGGTCTTCAAAGGTTTAAAAACAACTGGATATAAAGCCCCCAATTCCTCCTTCAAATCTGGTTATGTCTTTGATTGGCATAAACCCAGCAAAGGTGGTATACATTGGTATGCATTTGGGCAAATTAGCCTGGAAATTATGAACACTAATTCCATATACTGTGGTTCAGGGCTAACTTGAACAAAGTGACAGCCTATTTACCAACTATTACCCTCTACTTTTGATGAATAAGTTAAGACATATTTATAACCATACTGCCTTCAAATGGTGTTCAAATTACTTGGGACTGAGGACTTTTGGGGACTGAGGACTTTTGGGTCACCAAAGTGGTTTGGAGGTACCAAAAACTGACCAATTTGCCTGAGATCTTTAGCACATAGACTGTACTAGCAGCACATTTTGACTTGGGAATCACATTGTAGTAGATTTATCTGTCTATAACAAATGGTAGGAGCAGCACCATAGTCAACTATAAGTCCTACCATGCTAGGAACATCTTTCCCTGTCTTATAATACTGACATCCTGCTGATGGGGATAGATTGGTTCTGGCAGCTTAAATCTGGCCATCTGAGTAGTGCTGTAGACCGACATTAAAGTTGTGCGCAACCTCTTTAAATTTAAGTGGTGCCAATAACTTAGTGTCCCAAAGTGCTTTGTGGGCACAGTCTAATCAACAATTTGATAGTGATCCAACAAAAAGATTCACAAAACTTTGTCAGAGAGTTAGATTTGAAGGGACATTTTAAAGAAGCCAGTAGAAGTGGAGTGCTTTAGGGATGGAATTTTAGAGCAGAAAGTTTGGACAGAGTCCCTGGCTGTCAGTGATGGAATAAAGAAAGTCAAGGATTCATGAGACCAGAATTGAAAGAAGAAAGTTATTGGAGGTTTGTACAGTAGGAAGATATTAGAATTGGGGATGGAAGTGAAGCCATGGATGAATTTGGTTTTGAGCATGATCATTAAATGCATTCAAAGAATGCCAATGAGCACTAAACAGTGGGTGAATTATGGGAGTTCAGATTAGTATAGGAGAATTTATGGTAGGTGCAAGATCTAAAGCCAACCAGGAGAGCATTAGAATAGCCAAAATTAGCGATGACAAATGCATAGATGAATATTGCCCCAGCAAATATGTTGTACAGTAGGGATGGGCATTATAAGAGTTGAAATTAGACAGCCTTGGTGTGGAGAGTATAGAGTCGTTGAGCCACTGAATTGAGTATACCAATTAAGTATATACATATTTTGGGTATAAGACTTTTGTATATAGTAATTAACTGGCACATTATTTCTAGCATTTTAATTAGAATGTTCCCCTGTTCCAAAGAGCTATAATAATGATGGATGGATGGATGCTGTTTTCAGAACTTGTGTAAAATGCTGAAAGTGAAAAGGACGGTTGTGTAGATCAGGGTTGTATGCCAGAAGTGTTAAACGTCTAGTTCTCCAATGGTGTAATTGTATTATGTAGGTGGACAGCTAACAACATGTTCATTGGTCAAATGCAGCTGGTTGGTTAGATACTTAAGGTGTGGTAAATTAATGATTATTTTAAAAAGATTACTTATTATTTTATTCTATTATTTGATTATTTGAATGTTGAAATTATCTGGATTCCACCGGTTTCACATCTAATTTGAAGGTTCAACTTTCATTAACTAGGAAATTTGCAAAGAATATATTGGTGTAATAAATTTGAACAAATGAGGATTTTTTTTCATTCCTTGGAGAAATTCCAATTAAAGACAAAATAGGGAAGGTGGTCGCATTGACTAGTAATTGTGTGAGCCAGACTAATACTCTGGGCATGAGCTTGAATATTTGAAGTCGTGAAAATCTGGATTTCAAAGCTAGCCAAATTATTATGTAAGCGTTTTAGCTGTAGACCAGACCAGGCAGTGTGTTGACTTTTAACTGCCCTCTGAAATGCCAGCCAGTTCATTTGGGGATGACCAATAAATGCTGGCCCAACCAGTGATGCCAGCATCCCATGAACAAATTTAACAAAAGAAAGAACGTTTGTTCAAGAAAAACTTAAATTTTACACCTTTGTAAAACTTGAAATTAAAAATTGGAATTTTGGAGAAATATGAAGGCAGTTGAGGATAATGAAAGAAGGGATTATGAGTGCTAATTTAGAAATAAAGATAAATGAACAATAACTTTTTAGAAGTTGTTAAATGGTTGAAAATGACAAAAGTATCAGCC